AACTTAAGATCAAAAGAAATATTTCCTTGATTCAAAGAAATTTTTTTTAGGTTTAAAATATTCAGTTCGAAACTGAATTTATACGAAATTTGTTTTTTAAAAATATAAATTTTTTATTTCAAAAAAATTTTATCTTTGATTTAAAAATTGATTTAAGGCTGGAGTCCCATGGCAGCCTTTTTCGTTGCGTTTTGTAACTAGGCCATGAGTGTAAAAGAGATGCAGATATATGTTTGCTGTATTTACACTCATGGCCTAGTGACAAAATGCAACGCAAAACGCTCACATGGGACTGTAGCCTAAAAGAATATTTTTGTTGCAAACTAATCTTTCCCTGAGTGTCCGAACAAATAAGTAATTCAAAAAGATGTATTTCTCAGTCTAATATGATGGAATGATTATATGTGACCGTCCACGACAAAACAAGGCTTAGCTCCCAACAATTTTAGAGTATATTTTTGATGTTTTTAGTTAAAATACACAAAAAGAAAAAATTTTTAATACAAAACAATCATGTGTAAGTTTTTATTATATGTAAAGGATTCAATAAAAATTTTATTTTATTTTACTTAATTAAAAAGAAAATTTTTATGAAGGTGAAACTAAAAAAAAATTTTTAGAAGCTAAGCCTTGTTTTGTCGTGGACGGTCACATATTTTACTAATAAGTTTCAATGCAACTCTTCTGACAAGTCTCTTTTTTGGCAAAAAACGAAATATTTTGGTGAGGTTACCGTTTTCAAATGTTAAAAATGCATGAATTTTGACACTTTTTTTTCTTATACGGAGATAGTTTTTGAACTTAGTAATTAAATAGTTCATTTAATTGAAATCGGTTTTTATACGGATGATTTTGATTTTTCAAGGTCATAATAACACTATAAGCAATTTACACGCCTTAAGGCTATTTGATACTTTATGATATAATATCGAGTCACGTGGTTTAACACGGAAAATTTGTCCGCGCTCTAGTTTTTAAAGTAATACATATTTTGGGCCAAAATTTTGTGGAAATGTGTAAAATAATATAGGCTATGGGCGGCGGGTTGGGGTTTTTCGAAATTGTGTCGAAAAAGGTGTTTTTTAGTCGTTTAAACAAAAACGCATAGTATAAGAAAATGTCGCTGGAGGGCAGCACCTTACGGACCACTGATATTTACACTTACTCGAAAATCATTACAAACCATCTTTTTCGACTAAATTTCTGGCTCAAAATATGCATTACTTTAAAAACTAGAGCGCGGACAAATTTCCCGTGTTAAACCACGTGACTCGATATTATATCATGAAGTATCAAATGGCCTTAATCTAAATTTTATTTATATTCTATTAAAAATATAATAAAATTTTATTTTTACATAGAACGTTACCATTTTTCAGCTTCTGGTGAACTTCAAAAAATATATCGATCTGTTTTGTAAAAAGAATGACCCTAATTTAAATTTCTCTCATGTGCAAAATTTGGAGTTAACATCAACCACCTAAAACAAATTTTTTTATTAACACAAATATACGTTGATATTGAATTGTTTTTGTGAAAACAAACAAAATAAGGACGTCCCTAGGCAGCGCTGTCCCTAAGAAGAGGGACCAATTGTGACCGCTTCTGAGAAAAGGGTCCATTGTATCGGACACAAATGATCTGACTAGCTTAATCAAAAATATTGGTGTAAATTTCAAATATGGGGGGGGGTGTCCGGCAGCCGCTAATAAATGATCTGGATCACTATAATATCCAATCACTATTAGTATTCTCTTGCATCCATCCAATCACAGTGTGCTCTAAAAGATCCAAAAAGTTGTCCAAAAACCCTCATTATGTGCAAGATTATCTACGAAAAATTGGACCCAAATTTGCAAAAAGGACGCCAGAAGTATATGCATCATATGTTCTGAGAAAAATGGATACTTAAAAGTAGTATGCTATATCTACTTAAAATAATATAATCAGACCTATCATATGTATAATGGAGAATAAAAATCTTACTGAAAATATTTATATTCGGATTTGGTATCTTCAGATATTCAAATCAACGCGTAGCATAAAAGTTCAAATCACATGAGTTTCAATTAAAAGTACCAAACATAATCTGAAAATAAATATTTTTTTATTCATTAAGTACAAATAGTTTGAATGTTTAATAAATAAATATTTGTATTGTATCCATTATTTAATATTTTAATATAAAATTGGATTATTTTTATTAAAATGTTCATCGTTAATTAATTGAGATTAAATATCTAAAGATAATAAATTTTGTTATGTAGATGATTGTCCTGTAGTTAAATATCTGATATATTCATAAATAAATACATAGATACTTATTCTAAGTATCCATTTTTCTCTGCGTCAGTTCTCAAAAATATTCACATCTTTTTTGTCATACTGAGTAACACTTTTTCGGTTCTAGTTCCCGCTATAATTACAATTTAAGAAAAAATTAAAATTTAGGTAATATTATATAATTTTTTTAGTGAAAGTTGTAGAAACTATATTTAATATTTTTTTTGAAAAATTTGTCAGATTTATAAACAGAACTAATTTTTTGCCTCATCTTGCGTAAAAATATGCACTAGGGATATTCAAGAATTAAAGAAATACAATATTTCTTACTAAAAAAATTTAATTTAATTCGTGTAATCATTTCGCACTTTATATTTATCTGCTATATTAAAAATTCAAATTTATTTATTATATTGTGAAATTAACAGACCACGGATGTAAAAAATAAAAATGTGCATAAAATATTTCTTGAAAACTGTAATGGTGGATTAATAAAAAAAAATTAATCAGCGATTTAACCTCAAAATCTTTACTGTTACTCAATTTTCAAATACACTATTAATTTTGGTTTGTTTTAATTTCATTTAAAAAATAGAAACACATACAATATAGTTCCTAAAAAGATAAATATATTACAAAACGTGGCACAATTTTTGTGAATATTGTTTATAATTTTTAATGTTAAAAATAAAAATTAGTTGCCAAACAATGCCAGTGGTTGCATAATGATTCTCTGGTCATGGTCAATGTTTCGTTTATATCTTTGTTTATTAATTCTCCCGAATTTATTTCATGAAAATTTGCGGAGCTGAATTCAAACAAGAGAGAAATCCCGGTTCCAGTATGGCTCGCATTGGAAAAGTCCACGCAGCGGCGCCGTTTCGTCACTTCCGTCGTCCAGCCCAAATAAGGAAAATACCACGATCATCAAAGTGCCAAAGAAATATCCCTGAAAACACGTCGCCCTTTCGCTCAACCTCTCGCTAAATAACTTTATAAAGAAATCCCTTGAATTGTTAATAATTATTATTAATATTCACCCTTTTGGGAATTCGAGGATGCCGTTTAAGAAGTTATGAAAAGAGGATAAATTCTTCGCTATTTTTCCGTCGTATTGGAGACTCCTCTCGTTCAGTCCCGGATTTTCTTTCAGTACCCTATCAAGAATTTATTAATTTATATAAATTAGTAAAATTCGCGTTGTCGCCTCCCCTGATACCCAGAAAATCCCAGAGTTGACGGCAAGAATTCACGAGTAAAGAGAAAATTAATTCTTGAGGCTAAAATCTACAATTAAAAATATACCCTGTCACTGTTTTTACCCGTAGTCACGCTCCTGATTTAGGCGTAGGGATACAGGATCAAACAGTGATATCGGCGGAAAACGTGGGGTGAGGAACGAGGTAACGTGCCCACGGCATGAGACCCATACCGCTCTTCTTGATTGAGTAGCTACCGGCAACAGTTCAGTTTCTTTTCTCATTCAAGTGTTTCACAAAATTTTAGTATCTTTTTCAAGTTAAGTTTAGTGCGTAAGCAGCAGAGCCTCTCAAGAATCTTTCGACTCTTCGATTCATGTAAGTGCCAGTACATTACATTCCCCTTTTTATTGAAAAATGTAAGTTTGTAACAAGTGGTTCAGCCGACCACATGGTTAAACGAGCCATTTTCCCTTTTTCTTTATTCGCTTGCTTCTCGTTGTCCCTTTTCGTAAGTAATTTAGAATATGATCCTTACGTTTAATATCATTAATTAACTTTTACCCCTTCATTATCAATTATTAGAATTATTATGTTAATATGTACCTTTTTTTTATTCTCGTTGAACCATGTGGCCAGGAAAGTTTTAGCTTAAATGTTCTAGAGTTTCCGTTTTAAATCCTATTTTATTCTTAATTATTTACCATGTCTTCCCTGTTACCACAATTTTACCCCGTTATTGCAAGTTTTTCCCCTTACCAAAGAAAACTACCTTTCGCCGATGATGTTGCCCCGGAAAACTACCTAATCACCCCGTTACCTCACATTGTGCCACAAAAATTGTCCGCTTAAACCCGATTTTAGGATTGAGATTCTGTTGCATTATCATGTTAATTTTATTTTATTATCGTGTGTAAATTATTGAATTGTGTTTGACCATGCGTTCTCTTCTATCATAATTTTGACTATTAGACCAGAGAATTGTTCGTCAAGAAGCGCCATTTCCTTATTATATTTTTTTTGTATCGTTTTGCTGAATTATTGTATGTAAATTTTATTTAGAGTTGCGTTAATTGATGTCGCGATAATTCTAGTGTAGAATCTCTTTGAAATGGCCTTTAGGGTAATTCTAAACTCGTTACAAATGTCTCGTTTATTATGAATCATGTTAAAATTTTTATTGACGTTTTCCAAATTATTTTTCTTGCAATAAATTGTTATTATTTTAATTATTGTAATGTGATTTTCTCGACCCTCCCACCTTCGACTTTGCTAACGGCAACTTTTACAGGAATTACTTGTGTTTCTCTATTTAAACTCGTAAATTTGATTTTGATTTGATCCTTTTTTTTGCGTTTAGATTTAGTTCTTGAGATTTGATCTCACTTTCGTTTGGAATTTATAATAATAACTGATGAAGGTTTCTTAAACACTTAAAACTTCTGGTTTCGATTGTGATTAAATCCTGTTTTTTTCTTGTTTTTCATTAAAATATATTGCTTTGTCACTCAAGTCAACATGGATGCACGACATGGTATAGAATAAGAAAACAAAACAAAAACTTTGAAATACTGAAGTCCCTAGATTGAAACGTACTAGATGCCAATGAGGCTGAGTCCATAGGCCTCAGCGGAATAGAAAAGGTAACCGTAAACGCAAGAATGTGTTAGAGAAGGACAATATATATATATGGGCAAATCCACAGAACCGGCCGATTTTTACTTATCAAGATGAAAATTTTCCAAATAGCAAGCACACCTTTTATTTATGGTTTACTTTCTTTAAAATATATTCAAGAACAATTATCTTCTTGCGTGATTCATTTTATTTTAATGCCGTTTGAGTTAAAAGCCAAAAACGAAAATATTATTTTTCTTCTGGAAATTATAATTAAAAATGGCATTTCTTTGTTTTTTTTTTATATATTATTTGAAATATGTGCAAAACATTTTGAATAATGAAATATGATAAAATACAAATAATTAATTTTTTAATTATCAAAAATAAATTATTTATATTTTATCATATTTTATTATATATTTTATTTATTAGCATTTAATTTTTTATTTCTGTAAATTAAATTGTTTACTTACTAATTTTGATATTAACTATTTTAACCAACAAACTGACATTATTGACATCGATTTTGATATAACTTTGAAAATAAAACAAATGAAAGGATAATTCATTTTTCACGATTAACTAGTTAAATTTCGATAAATTTTTTTTTATTTTTAATTTTTAGACGTTATAAATTGAAAATATAATTTGGCGTTTGCATACAAGAATTATAATAATGTCTTTATATAATCACACATGTTTTCAACTCATCATATTTTATCCTGTAGTTGTGCTACTGAAAAAAGGCTAAGTTGAAAATGGTTCACGCTTAAACATAGAGTGATAATTATTGGAATATTTTCTTTAATTCTGATTGCACTCTATTCTATGATACATACATTTGTTCGTCTGTTCACAAGCAATAAGCTCCAATTTGAAAAATTCAAATCGAATAATCGCCGCAAAAGATATTTACAAAAATGTATAGACATTTCATTATTATAAAATAATGAGTAACGCTACTTTCAACGACTATCATTTCTTTTTATTTAAGAGCACATATTTTTTATTACTTTCAAAACATTCTTCAATAAGTAAACTATAATTCACCACAGTTTGGAATTGTTCGGATCTATGCCGAACAAGTTATACCTATAAGAATTAAAATTTATACCTGGAGTAACACCGTAAATTTCATTTTTTAAGTTACTTAATTCGATTTTATTTTTTATAAAAGACTAGAAGGTTCACATTTATTCAATTTTCTTATTTCAATAGGTTCTCAGAGATATTACAAAATGGTTGAAGTATGAAAATAATTAATATAATACTTCTAAAATAGAAAAATATATGAGTAACATGAAATCGGCCGGTTCTGTGGATTTGCCCATATATATATCCTTCTTTATCTCATTCTTTCTTTTGCTGATAGGATTGCGATTCTGGTTACGTTTCTATTCTGCGTTAGCCTTTACGATTTACTGTGCTCAGGCCCATTAATATAATTTAAATATTGACATAACCATCAAATTTTTTATTTGTATTTACATCTAAAAATCACAAAATTAAAAAAAATGTCCAACTCAAATCGACCGGAACATTTCTTTTTAATAGAAAACAATTTCACAAAGAGCGATTGGTTTTATGTGATAAATAAGTCAATGTTATTAGTGACTGACGATGCTGATATCAAAATTGGAACAAAAGTGTAATTTCTTGCCGAAAAGAAAAACAAAACCACGTAAGAAAGAAAAATTCGAGGAGGAACAATTTTAATGGAATCCGGTAAATAACGTTTATGTTGTAAAACTTGACGCATAACGTTACATGTTCATTAATTCATTTTCAAAATCTTTAGATGAAATTGTACTTTTAAATTAAATGTATAGCAATTTCGAAAACATTATGCATAAAAAATGATATTATGTTTTAGAAAACGAAAAAGTTTTAAAAAAATAAATAAAGAAGAGATTAGAAAAAATTGAAAACGAAGAAATCACAAAGGAGGAAGCAATAAAAATTACAGATTAGATTATGAAGCAAAGAGATTAAGATTTATTGAAAGAACAAGAGAAGAGCATGTTGTTTTGGCCATAGAGTTGGAAAAAGTATTAAATGCTGAAAAAAAAGTAATAAAGATTTAAAAATTGGAATCTCAAAGGCCACCAAAATTAATGAAAAAGCAAATGAAGCGATTTTAAAACTAGAGCAGGTAATTGTAGATAGCTATCTATTTTTAATTGTTCAGTACTTTTAAAATTAAAAATACTTACGTTTTAATCTTTTTTATTTTATTAAATTAAGGATTTCGATGGAACAAATATTTAAGGAGTATAGTGCTTAAGAAAATTAAGGTATTTGAATAATAAATGCTGATTGTTAATAGTAAAATTAATAAAAATTATGAACAAACAGATTAGAAAAAATCGTTAAAAATTCTTTATTAATGCCTTTTGAAAATGGTTAATCATTAAAAATTAATTCTTTTTTTTTATCAAATTGTTGGCAGAAAAATTACCAATTTGCAAGTAAGTTCATAGTTTTTCATTTTTTTTCGGTTGCTATAAAGATGTGAAACAAACAAACAACTGAATTTCTGTTTATATTGAAATCAATAAAACATGGTAACGGAAATATAAAGGCTCATCATTTTTATCTACCCTATCATTAGTGACCAAAAAAATTTGTTTACTTAAAAAGTTTACTTTCATTCTTTAAAAAATGGATGATTGCTTTCTTATTGATGGAGATAATTGCCTTACGATTATAAGTAAATCGTCAATTATCTTTGATCCGAAAAATCCGGAACTGAAAGTTAGAATGACGGTGACTTATCTGTGTCCGGAATCAACTATCGTTAAAAAAAATATACTGCTGTCATAGTTCACATATCATGTGGGTATATATGTACCTAAATTTTTAATTAATTTAATCAATATTCTTATTTAAAATTAATTACAAAAGTGAAGTCTGAATAATTTCAGATATTGTTTTTTATCATATATATAATAGGCATTTCGAAAAAAATGTTTTTTAATGAAAAGCAATTTTTTTAGTTTCAGGCTATCTATTTAAAAAATTTTAATCCTTTATTAGCTTTATTTCAACACTATTTGAACAAATTATATTAAAAATCTGATTATATTCATAAAAAAATAATTTTTAAATAATTATCATAAAATATTTATAATTAAATTAATTAATTATAGTTAAGAAATTAATAAAATTAATTTCTATAATTATCTAAAATAAACTTTTTTTAATATAAAATTTTTTAAAGTCACGTAATTGTCAGGGAAGGTAAAACATAGATTCTTGTGGCATATATCCCTATTTCAGTTTAATATGATTTCATTTTCTAAAAAAGTTGATTAAAAAATAAATCAAACAGAATTTCTATTTAGCGGATGTTTTATAAAACAGATTTAAAGATTAACCGAATTTTCATTAAAACTAATTTTTTGCATAGAATAATTTGTATTCAACACAATTTCTACTTTATAGTTTTTTCAATTAATACAATTGGCATTTTACCAAATTCTATTAAATGAAAATTTTATCTAAATAAAAAGTTTGTTAAGTACAACTTTGTTTTAATATTAATTAAATAAGGACAAATAAGGACGTGGACGTCCGCATGCAAGGAGCCCACTTTGTCAGTTATAGTTTTCCAGAAAATCTTAATTTACTAAATTCGATGAAAAATCTGGAATTAAAACAAAATTTTAATCAATGTACAGGGTTTATATGTCGAAAAATACACCTGACACAAATATAAAATTTTTATTATTTAATATTTTTTATTTAAAAGGAATTAAAGCTAATTTAAAAAAAAAATTAAATCAGTATATAATACCCTTAAAAATTTATTTAGCCGATGAAGATGAGTTGATCCGAATTCCCGATCAAATGTCAAAGAAAAAAGGCCAGACAAAAAAAAGAAAACTTTCGCCCGAGACGGAGTTATTTCAAGATAGTGAGGTATTTTATTACAACGAATGAAAATTGTATTTTTGTTTTCCGGTGTGTGATTTTATTTAATTTTACAGAATCAATTGAGTTTAGATGAGCCCAATTCTCCATTTTTATCAAAAGTTCGAACGGCATTGAAACTCAATAAAGAGTTAAATGATGTTTTTCAAGAATTAAAACAAGTAAGTTTAAGATTTTTTTAAATATTAAATTTCATAAAATAAAAAAATATTCACAAGAAAGTAAAGTAAAAAATCATTTGTAAACCTTTTTATTATACGAAAGTATTGTTTATGTTCATTTTGATCGTTCCTTTTCCTGCTTTTAAAAACTTTTCTAAACTAAAAATATTTTAACAGAATATTTAAAAACATTGAAAATTTTTAGCTTGCTTTGAATCCGAACCGAAGTCAAAGCTTTCAAGACTCACGATCTTTCACTTCAAGTTTCATTAAAAGATCGATTTCGCCAAGTTCTTCACGCTTAAACTTCTTGAATCAAACAGAAGCAAGCTCTTTGGGTATATCTACTTTTCCGAATGAAAAAGAAGCAACTCCGAGCTTCGTGGATGAAACAGGGGCAAGTACTTCAGGAATATCTACTGTTTCGAAGGAAAACGAAGCAGCTCCTGCATTTGATTCGATGTTGGATGAAAATGATTATAGTGATGGAGAAAAAAACAATATTAGAGAGGCTATGGAAACTGATGACACCAAAATAACACTAAAAACATCAATTATTTTCTGTTCACGAAAGAGAGTGCCGGTGAAAAGGTAAAATTTATATGTATTTAAAAAAATTATAATTTATTTACAGACATCGTATTAAGTTTAAAACACAAAAAATTGAATTTCGTTTGAACAAAAGTAAACAAATTTATTTTCTAATTTTCAATATTTACTACAATAAGTATTACATACTTTAAAATTATTAATTATTTTTTATGGGGACCACTGGTTAGGGAAAAGTCAGGGAATTTCGACTGATTTTAGTGGCCAACATGAATATTTCTGAATTTTATCATAGCTAATGTTTAGAAAAGGATCATTTGACATTTTTTAGACTCAGTTATTTCTCCCAAATCTGAAAAAAATTTGTGTCACATGATTAGACTGAAATTTTCCAAGATCTTGCCCTAAAACTTATTAAAGACCCAACAATATCTGCAAGAAACTTAGCCTGATCAGCTCTTTACTTTTAGGGATCAATAGAAAAAACTTTCAAAAAACGCATAAATTTACCGTTTTTTCCAAAAATTCAGGATTTTCTCAAAAGCTGCTGAATAGAAATGGATCATTCGACATTTTTTAAATAAACTCAGTTATTCCTTCCAAATTCGGAAAAAAATTGAGTCACATGATTCGATTGGAATTTTCCAAGATCTTGCCCTGATTCCAAACAAAGTCACCCTAAAAAAACGAATTTCGTAAAATTAATTAAAACCCACCAGTAATTACAAAATACTTATCCTGCGAAAGCGCGCATCAAGAAAAAAATGTTGATCAGCTTTTTTTTAGAGTAAATAGCAAAAAGTTGAAAAAATCGTAAAAATTTAGCGATTATTCAAAAAATTCAGGACTTCATCAAAAGCTACTGACTAGAACAGGATCATTCGGCAATTTTTAGACTCAATTATTCCTCCTGAATCAAGAAAAAAATTGAGTCAAATGATTTGACTTGATTTTTCCAAAATCTTATCTTGATTCCTGAAAAAGCGGCCCAAAAAATACGATTTTTGTAAAATTAATTAAAAACTCTTCAGTTACTGCATAAAAGTTATCTTACGGAAGCTCCCATAAAGAAGAAATGTTGATTAGCTTTTTATTTTTAGGATGCATAGCAAAAAGTTGTAAAAATCGTTGAAATGTAGCGTTTTTTCCAAAAATTCATGATTTTATCAAAAGTTATTAGTTCGAAAAGGATCATTTGACATTTTTTAGACTCAATTATTCCTCCTGAATCAAGAAAAAATTGAGTCAAATGAATTGACTTGATTTTTTCAAAATCTTACCTTGATTCCCAAAAATGACGCCCAAAATGTACGATTTTCATAAAATTAATTAAAAACTATTTAGTTACTGCATGAAAGTTATCGTGCGGAAGCTCCCATGAAGAAAAAATTGATAAGATGTGGCTTTTCTACATAATTCTGACAATAATTAAATTATAGAGAATTTTTAATTGAATTTTTTAAAATTATTAAATTAAAAAAAATCAGTTTGTGTAAAACGCTGTTAACACTATTCAATTTGATTATAATTTAGCGAAAAATCTAATATAAAATTTGTAAGAATAATTGAATTTCGGAAGAGTTATTTACAGTTCATTTTTTTTAAATTGAATTTTAAGAGATTTCAAGTAAAAAATTGTGTACATTTAAATTACTAAAATTGGTATACAAATTTTAGACTAATATAGATTTTTATCACTGTATACATTTAAGCAATTCAATTAATTAATTAACATCTATATATAAAATAAAAATTTTATTTTTAGGCCGTTGAATTGTTCCCGGAGAGTGATGTTTATATCGATAAAGATATTTTAAAAGATATCAAACACACTAAAGCCTCATTGCACACTGTATTAGAGCGTACACTAATGTGTAATATATTTACAGAAGAAGCGCTTTTAAAATTCCACTTGCCCTCTTCGAGGAGCAAAGATAGTCTCCCGAAGTTTGCTGTCGAAGCCATTTTGGGTAAGATGACACTATAATTACTTTTATAATGAACAGTATTATTAAAAGTATAAAAATATAATGGTTAAAAAATTTGTTTGTTTTCAGAGTACGCTCGAAAAACAGCAAAAAATCGTAAATGGGCGGTTAGTGAACCTCGCGCGGTAAAAGAGAGTCTTCGATGCAAAAATAATACTTTAACTTATCAGCAGCGATTTTTGAAATTTATTTCTACTAAAAGGTTGACTTAAATGGACTTGGAAACTTAGTTACGTGGTGTTATATTTTTTTAGACTTAAGGTTAACTTGGATCTACCAACAAATTTTTTAACTTCCTGTAGTATTTTTTGAGATAAATTTTTAGGAAAAATTTAACTGGAATCTACAAGGAAGTTTTTTAACCTTCTGGTATATTATTTAAGGTGAACTTCCACGAAGAAGTTGACCTGAATTTACTTGGATACTTGGTAAACATAATTTATGACTTCCCAATGCTTCATTTTTGCCAAATAGTAATCCACAAATAAACAGGAAGTAATTTTGCATTTTCATCACAAAATTACGGGTAAAGAACAATTTTCGGAAAATCCGCGGATTTTACCGGTAATCTTTTCACGTGGGAAAAATTAAATAATTTAATTTTGAAGGAATATTAATTATGCTTCTTTTTCGATTTTATATTTAGTTCGAAATATTACCCGGATAATAAATTTTTTCCCTGAGTTTCGTCGCAAGAAAACATTTCTTTGAAATTTCCCTTTTATTTACCTTACTTGTATCTATCCTGCATATAATAAATATATTTAAAAATAATAAAAAATTACCTTGGCCATTTTCCCTTTGTACTACTACTACCTGTGTAATAGGATCGTTTGCGGCAACAGGCATTTCATTTTCAAGCCAAAAATTTATTGTTAACGGTAAATTTATTTCCAAAGGTAAATTTACTTCCAGCGGCAAATCTATTTACAGTGATGAATTTCTTTCAAGTGGTAAATTATCGTTTACATCTGTTAAAAAACATACCATTATACAAGAAGTAAAATAAAGAGATGCATTATTTATTATTATTTACTAAATAACACACATTTGCTTTTTGAATTGTAAAGCTCAAAAGAAGATTAAAAATAAATGGTTTTTTTCCTTGTAACTTTTTTTCTAATTAGTGCAATAAAATATTTGTCTTGGTTTTTTTTCAGTGAAGATATCTTATTCTTCAAAAGCATGTTTTAAGATTATAAAAAGCTTTAAAAGAGGAATGATTTTTTTAAAAATAAATAAGATTCATTTTCTAAATACAAAGAAACATTTTATTTTCTTTAAAACTTTTACCATAAATTTTTACTAATTTGAAGAAAATTAACTTCGAGTTACAAGCAAGCTAAACCATATTGCCAGCCTTCAGAATATCATTTTAAAAATTTATTATTACAGAATTTTAAATTGTAAATGCAATTTAAAAAATGGAATAATACAAGATCATTTTTTTATTACACTTTTTGTTGGTTGAAAAATGTATGTTAATATATTTAAATATTTAATTTTTATTTTAAAAAATATTTAACACAATTAAAAATTTTTTTTTTGATTTTAACAGGAAAATAATTTAAATTTTTGAAATTATAAAAATTTTAAAACATGTAAATATTATATATAGGGCATTCCACGGGAGATTTTCATTAAAAAATTTTTTTTCCCCGAAACAGTTTTTTCGAAATCTATATGAAAAATAAGAATATACGTATTTTTTTATTTTTTTATTTGATAAAAATGAAGGAAGTTATGATTTTTTGAAATTTAACGTCAACGATGGAAGTGTGTTTTTGGGACATTTTTTAATCTATTGTTCTAATAAATTAAAAATTATGCTATATATGAATTTTGTTCATTTTTTCTTAAATTTTTCAAATATCTGCTCAAAAATAACGTACCTATAAGAGAAGCAAGAAAAAAGTTGAAATTCAACTTAAAAAGTGAGTTTTCTTAAAGGAGACACTTTCGATTTTTAATTTTTATTGCATTACAATCTCGGGTGACTAAAGAATTTTTTTCCCCTATCTGCGAAAGTGGTACTTTTAGTTTTTAAGTTACTATTTACAATTTTTAAGCTCGACGCAACGATTTTTAGTATGTTTTTTTGAAAATTAAAAAAAACAAATGAATAATAATGGAAAAAGGTTATATTTGTAAAATAACTGCTTAAATTCTGTGAGCCGTACTAAGAAAATTGTAAATAGTAACTTAAAAACTAAAAGTACCACTTTCGCAGATAGGGGAAAAAAAATTATTGTGTTTTATAAATGAAATTTTTCATGTGGTGAAATTGACGTTTGTGCATAAATTTGCAAGATATGGGATAATTATAAATGACATATAAACTTTATATTTCCAATAAAGAAAAAATAATTTTAAGGGTTATAAACATAAAAACAATAAAAAATTTGTTTAATTATATAAATAAAAGCTTCAATTATAATTTTCTATTTTTTAAAATATTGTTATTTATTCACTTAACTTTTACCTATTTATTCACCTTAACCATAAAAACTCAAAACTTGAAAAATTCTTTTCTATTAAAACACAGTTTAGGACACCATCAATCGGATGATGTAATTTATTTTTTCTGAAATTCAATCTGAATTATCAAAACAATAATTCTATACCGCATTTACATCGACTACATTCTAAAAAAAATTTATTTAATGCGGAAAACAATTAATTTTTACATACAACAAAATAAGCCCAGGTTAGCTTTTCAATTTTTAAATCATTTTTATTTATTTTCGTCTACGGAAATATAATATTCAAAACAAAATAAATTTAAAACTTTTACATTATTTTTTAATTATACGTAAACTACTTTTGTGAAAATTTATAAAGTACTATTATATTTTTTATCTATTATACTATTTTTTATTTTTCAGGTGGAATAATGGAAATAGTAGAATATTATTAATATTTCATAACATTAATAATTTAATAATAGAATATTATTAAATAATGGAATAATTTAGAAATAATGGACCATATAAAATTTTAAAATCAGATTTAATATACGGTTCTCCCACGGTTTTTAGTTCACCTTTCAAGAAAAATATGGTTCATGCAAGCAACGGTTTTTCTTATTTTAATAAGATTCAAAATATTTGCACGATTTATCCACGGTTTTAAGTACACCTATCAAAAAAAAATTTAAATCATACAAGCCTTGGTTTTCCTTATTTTAAAAAGATTAAAGAAATAGCCACGGTTTTCCCACCAATTTAGTTTACTTACCAGGAAAAAATTTCAATCATACAAGAAACTGTTTAGCTTATTTTAATAAGATTGAAGAAATTGACACAGTTTTTAAGTGGTTTTAAGTTCACTTATCAGGAAGAATTTTAAATCATACAAGTCACGGTTTTGACAATTTTAATAAAATTGAAGATATAGCCACGGATATCCCACAGTTTTATGTTCACTTATCAGGAAGAAATCTTAATAGTACAAGCCAAGGTTTTGATTAGTTTAATAGGATTAAAGAAATTGCCACAGTTTTATATTTGATTAAGTGTCACCTATGAAGAAGAAATCTAAATTATACAATATACGGTTTTGCTTAATTTAATAGGATTGAAGAAATTGCCACTGTTTTCCCACGGTTTTAAGTTTACTTACCAGAAAGAAACCTGAATCATACAATCCACAATTTTGTTTATTTTGATAAAATTGAAGGATTGCTACGGATTTCCCACGGCTTTAAGTTTACATTCAGGAAGAAATGTAAATCATACTAGTCACGGATTTTGTATTTTAATAAGAGTGAAGAAATTTCCACGGTTTTTCCACGATTTGAAAATATTTACCAGGGAGAATTTTAAATCATACATGCCACGGTTTTGTTTATTTTAATAGGATTGAAAAATTGACACTGTTTTCCCACGGTTTTAAGTTCACTTATCAGGAAGAGATCTAAATCGTACAAGCCACGGTTTTGCTAATTTTGATAAAATTGAAGAATTTGACACGGTTTTCCTACGTTTTTAAGTTTACTAATCAGGAAGAAATTTTTAATCGTAATAGTCAAGGTCTTGCTTATTTTAATAGAATTAAAGAAATTGAGACGGTTTTCCCACGGTTTTAAGGTCACTTATCAGGAAGAAATTTAAATCTCACAAGACACGGTTTTGTTTATTTTAATAGGATTGAAGAAATTGACCTTGTTCCCACGCACTTAAGTTCACTTATCAGGAAGAAATCTAATCGTACAAGCCACGCTTTTGCTTATTTTGATGAGATTGAATAATTTGCCAAGGTTTTACCACGGTTATTAGTTCACATGTCAGGGAGAAATTTAAATCATAAAAGCCACGATTTTTCTTATTTCAATAGGATTGCAGAAATTGCAACCGCTTTAACGTTGTTTAAGTGTCACCTATGAGGAAGAAATCTAAATTATACATCCACGGTTTAACTTATTTTGATAATATTGAAGAAATTGACACGGTTTACCCATGGTTTTAAGTTCACATTTAAGGAAGAAATTTATATCATAAATAGTCACGGTTCTTTGTATTTTAATAAAAGTGAAGAAACTAACACGGTTTGAAAATATTGACCAGGAAGAAATTTAAATCATACAAGCCACGTTTTTTGTTATTTTAATAGGATTGAAGAAATTGCCACAGTATTAACGTGGTTGAAGTGTCACCTATGTGAAAGAAATCTAAATATTCCAATCCACGGTTTTGTTTATTTTCATAGAATTGAAGAAATTGCTTCGGTTTTCCCACGGTTTTAAGTTCACATGTCAGGAAAAAATTTAAATAATACTAGTAACAGTTTTTTGTATCTTAATAAGATTAATGTATGTATGGCCACAGCATTGATGTCTCGCTGCAGCGTAAGCTGGAGAGTGACATAAAATATGAGCAGAAAATTCCTCTTCCGCGTCACACAATCTGCATCTAGGTGAATCGTTTCTACCTATTTTGTGCTGATGGTAGTTCAGGAGGGCATGTCCCGTGAGCAGCCTGACCACTGCTCTAACTCTGATCTTGTTGAGTTTTAGAAGAGACTCGGCAAAGCCCCTGTTGAGTTTTAATCCCAAAAGAGCCTTGGCCTTTCTACCTACAGTAGTCTCCGCCCACTCTCTCTTGTGACATCTCTTAGACCATCTTTTAATGGCCACTTTCACCGCACCTGGCATAATGTTTACCGCCGGCTCCGGGCCTATCATAGTCATCTCAGACCCTCTACGGGCTGGGGTATCTGCTTCTTCATTTCCTCTGATTCCCGAGTGTCCTGGTACTCAGATTAATGAGAGCTTATTTGTCAAACCTAGCTCGTCCAATACCTTCCGACATTGCCAAACTAGTTTTGACTCTATAGTCGGATTACTCAAGGCGTTTAAAGCCGCCTGACTATCGACACAGATATTAATTCTCTTTCCAGACTTTCGTTTTTCAAGGCAAATCATTGCGCAAGTCATTACAGCACAGACTTCTGCCTGCCAAACCGTGGTGTAATTACGTAAAGATAATGTCACTTTAGTTTCATTAGTCTTACAGTATACACCCAAACCAGTGCCTCTTTCCATCTTGG